ATACAAAGCTAACAATTATGTTATTTAAACCATGCTGAGTATACATATTGAACTTAACAGCTGAACCAGCAATCGGCTGAATTGACCATAGCTACCAATCACTTTGAAATTTATGAAATCAGGCTAAAAAAATTGAAAATCTATCAAAATCACAAGAGAGAAGTGTTGAATCCAAGGACATTAGACATAAATACATGGCTTGCCTAATCATAAAGTATCACATGTGTATCCCAAGACTAACACATTAAGTTATTCATAAGGCAAGATCTAGAACTAAATAACCATTCCCACTATGGTCATAATGAAATCAAACCCTCATAAAAATAGGGGAGTGGTGATAGAAATATTAGAGCATACCACAAATAAACTCCATAAATACAACCTTATTGATTACAAGACATCCAGTGAGGACATCCCTCTAATAAACTGCAGATAATCAAAAGAATTCAAAGCTGTCTCATAAAAATTCTATCTACCCTAGTTGCTATGGGTCAATGAAAGGGTAGCCTATCCCTCTGGGTGGGCACCCAATACTCACCCCAAAATAATAGCAAAAGAAGATGAATGCACACAGTGGCAAGAGAAATATAGACATGTATGCCTATCCCCCAGGGTGGGCATCACATAGTTCATCTCATTGCCATCGCTGAAAAACAAATGCTCAATATTTATAAAAATGCAGACAGAGTATATTTTTCATTAAGACCTTCTGGATATACTGTTCTCAATGTTCTAATCCAAAACAGTTCTCGTTGTAACAACAACTTCTTACGGTCGCCTCCCCTCCAAAGGGGTGGTATATGATCAATTGCCATAAGTTTTAAAGTCGGAAGCGTATGCCCTTTCTCCAAAAAATGTTTGGCCACAGGTAAGTCCGATTTCTGATCTCTGTATGCCACCCTTACGCTGTATCTATGGTTGCGAATGCGTTCGCGCAAGGGTAGATCCGTCTTGCCAATATACGCGAGTCCACAAGGGCAGGTTAGCTTGTATATTACAAAGTCAGTGGTGCAAGTTAAACGATGTCTAATGATGTACTTCTTCCCTGTATGAGGATGGGAAAACGATTTACCAGATAGCATGTGCCCACAAGTGACACAGCCCAGGCACTTATAGCAGCCCAAGTTGACAAAGCACTGTTTATCCTCATAACAATGTATAGGGTCCGTCTTCACTAACAGATCCTTCAGATTTTTGTTTCTCCTATAGCACATCATGGGTGGTTGACAAAATATTTCTGGTAAAGACATATCATTCCTCAAAATCCTCCAATTTTTCTCAATCATTTGCTTAAATTGTGGAGATGCTGTGGTGTATGTTGTCGGAAAGACCAATTTCTTTATCGGTGGAGCTTCTAAAGTGGCTTGTGCTGAATAGCACTTGTCAAGCGCTTTGCGTAGCACACAATCACTGTAGCCACGTTGTTGGAACTTTTCCCACATAAGACCCAATTGTTCCTCGGCCTTACCCGGGTCTGAGTTATTTCTCATGACCCTAAGGAATTGAGAATATGGTAAAGATTGTTTGAGAGCATTAGGATGGAAACTATTCGCTTGAAGTAAAGTATTACGGTCAGTTGATTTTGTAAAAAGCGTGTATGCCAACTTGTTGCCTTCTCGTATGATCCGTACATCTAGGAAATCCACTGTAAGAGGATCCATTGTCGTGGTTAACTGTACATTCGGTGTGCATGAATTAATATATTGGACCATGGATTCTGCAATACTATTATCTCCCTTGATGATCATAAAGATATCGTCGATGTAACGACTGTATGACAAAATGATATCTTTAAAAGGTTCCAATATGTGTTGGGTTTCAAATTCAAACATGTATCCATTTGCATACATCGGGGCCATAGCCGCACCCATAGATGTACCTGCTGACTGTCTGTACCACTCAAGTTCAAACCGAAAATAATTTTGTGTCAACACCAGTTCCAAAATTTCCATGACGTATTCAATTGGAGGTCCCATATACTTGTCTGAGGATGCAAGAATTCGTTTCATAGCCTGAACCCCCCCTGTATGGGGTATGATCGTGTACAAACTCTTCACGTCGCAAGTGACTAGTGTTATCAGACCAGTCGGTAAGGATAGTGTGGAGATCATTCTAATGAAGCTTGGAGTGTCCTTAATATACGTTGGTAAACTTTCAATTGTTTTCTTAAAAAGGAAGTCCAACCACTTTGCCAGGGGTTCTAAAATACCCCCTACAGCCGACACAATTGGTCTCCCCGGAGGGTCCTGAAGATTTTTGTGGATCTTGGGGAGTGTATGATGTAAGAATTCCCACAGGTCCTGATCGATAAACTTCTGTTCCAGACCCCTTAATAGAACTGCATCTATCAGGAGCTTGACTTGAGGTGTAGGGTCACAGCTTAATTTTAAATAAGTGTGGAAATCAGATAGTTGTTGTATTACTTCCAATCTATATTTCACATAGTCTTGGATAACAATCCCCGCACCTTTGTCTGCTGACCTGATAACGATGTTTTTATCTGTAGCCAAGGACTTAATAATTTCCCAATCCAATTTTGAGCAATTAGAATGATGGGAAGGGGTACTTTTCAAATAATCCGTAGTTTCCTTTTGTACTGATCTTAGAAAACTTTTTATGGTGGCTTGATTAGGCAAAGGGTCAAACGTACTTTTTTTCTTGAATTTGCTGTTGTAATCATCTGGAAGAATGGCTTTATTCTTAAAGAAATCCTTTAATCGCAATGATCTACCAAATTTATATAGTTCAACCCCCCAATCTAGTGGATTGGGTTTGGCAGT